AAAGTAAACTGCCGGGTTTTCTCTGTATTTAAGAACCTTTCACCGTTGAATGCTTGTCGAGCTGCCGTCTCCTGCCAGGGACGGCGGTCTTTCTACTACTTCGGACACCTTTTGGTTTAGAAATGGCCGGCTGTTTCTTCGGCAACTTCTTTCTCGGCTCCCTGCTACCCGACGCCGGCCTTTTGTGGGCAGCCGCCGTTCTCTTCACTTTCCTCGCCTCAGGCTTGGCAGATTTCTTCGGCAGGGTTTTCCCGCCATGCTTGAAGGATCCCGAAGCTCCGTTGCCGGTTAAGCGGATCAAGACCCCATTCGATACCAGTTTATGCAGCTCCCGTTTGAGGTGGCTATTTTTGTTCCTGTTCAGGTTGTAGCCTCCTTCCCTGAGGAATTTCTTCAGGGCCGCCAGCGACACGCCTTTACGCGAACTGGAGCCTTCGAAAGCCATCAGGATAAGCTTAGACAAAGGGCCGGAAAGGCGCTTCTTTCCTCTCCCCGAGGATTCGGAAGTGGACGGTTCGGAAACAGGAGCAGGCGGAGGGGCGCTCGAGCCTTCTGCCTCGGTGTGAAGTACGGGGCTTCCCTGCCGGATACCCTGTCGGGTTCCTTGACGCCTTGGCCCCTGCCGAGTTCCTTGACGCCTTCCCTGTCGGGATCTCTGCCGCCTTGCGCGACCCATCCTTCCACCCTCCCGCGAAAGCAGCGCGCTGCCAGCTGTCCGGAGCGCCACTGAGAAATAAACCGGCCATCAGGGTATATATAGTGTGGCGAGGCTGACGTAAAAGAACAAATTTGCATATGGCCGTCTCTTCTCCCCCACCCCACCCCCGCCTTCCTTCTGTCACACCGTTGGAGAGAACCTTATTAGTGACAGTTTTCACTCAGGTCCGATCTTGAACTCGCCGACTGCATGCCTAGCTTCAATATTACCACCGCGGGGCGGGCAGGGGGCGGGAGGAGAGAGAGAGATGCGGGGTTTTATTCTTTTTTACTATCTTGTATCTAATCATTTGTTTCATAAATGTGCTGGTTGGTTGGGGTCTTTTTTTGGGGGGGTACTCACCCCCCACTTTCCAGGTGCGAGGAAGCACAGAAGGCGCCTAATGGGGAATGGACGAAGGTAACATTAAGCTAACGTTTAGAGCAGGTAGTCGCCGAGCTGTATGAGAGCTCCTGAAATTTGATTCCGCGATGATGGAGCTGCCTGCATACTTGGCGTTCCGTCCCCACACGTTAATTATTGCGCAGTGCAACGGATTTATTGTTTATTTCAAATGTTATAATGCAAGAGTGGCAAGTCTCTCAAGGTGGCTTCCAGAAAACATGCGTCTGCAATAGCCAGAAATCAAAAATATTAATACGCACGTGGCAGGATTTTAGGAGCATCACATTTCCAGGCAAACAAGATAAACTGCCTTATACTTAGTTGGGCCACTGGTCTTTATAGCTCCATATTATGGACACTGGCTGGCAGCAGCTCTGCAGGTTACTGAGATGTGGAGGCTTAAACCACATATAATTTGTGCCTTCGTGTCCTGGAAAGAAAATAGGGGAGGAAGGAGAGAGACACCACCTTTTTTGAGCTTGGAAATTACTGATGGGGTACTTGTTGTCCACCATATGTTGTTGGACTCCAACATTTACTTGTTTATCCTATATTTTATTCTGTGAACCGCCCTGAAATCTTATGATTAAGGGTGGCATATAAATCTAATAAAATAAAATAGATCCCCATCAGCCCCAACCAGCATGGCCAATGTTGAGGGATCGAAGAGAGTTGTAGTCTGGGGTTTCACCCAGACCCATCTTTATTCCAAAGAGCCCTGGTGGCTTCAGTGGCTAAGGGTATATTTTACCAGTTTGGGTAGGTAAGACAGCTATGGCTGTTTCTGAACAGGGATAGTCTGACTATTGTTGTCAATGCACTGGAAATCTCCAGACTGGATTACTGCAATGTGCTGCATGCAGGGCTGCCCTTCAGGGTGACCCAGAAGCTGAAGCTAGTGATTCATAAATGAAATTGGGGGGGGGTTGTCCAGCAACATCTGGAGAATCCCATATTCCCCATCCCCATTCTAGACCAGAGTTTAATGAATAACGTGCAGAACACACACACACACACACACACACACACACACACCATGTATCCAGTGGACCTTACTCCCAGGTAAGTGTGCATAAGATTGCAGCCTTCCAGCACAGTCCTCTACAACTACTCTGAAGTAAATCCTATTGATTTCAATGAAGTTTTATCTTCATTGAGTAAATGGGACTTACAAAATATGAATAGTACTGTTAGAATATGAATGTCTGAAACAATGAGTGATCACTTTGAATGAATGGACATACCTGCCAGATTGGATATAATATTCAAATTTAAAGTTTGTATGGTTTTATGTGTCTTTTTAATAAAAAATTTAAAAAATCAAGTCACACACTTTATTCAGTTTTCTCTGAACTTCTCCAAAATTTATTGGGCTTGCAAGCCGCAAGCATTTCATTTCTCAGTATCAGCACAAAATCCTACTTTGAAACAAAACAGACTTATTTTGTTGGTTAATGAATTTACAAATAAATACCAATGGGAGGTTGGAGATAAAACAGACTCTTTTTAACTTATCAACTTCAGTTGAAGTTTTGATCTGGTGTCTCTATTAATGTAAAGGCAAAAAAATGTATGTCAGGCTGTTTCTGCCCGGTTTCGAACCGGGGACCTTTCGCGTGTGAGGCGAACGTGATAACCACTACACTACAGAAACCCAGCTGTATGCCTTCTCTGAGCTACTGTGGCTGATTGGGAAAGCATGACTGGTATGAAAGCCATGGCAGTCAAAAGGAATCTGCTGACACATCATTCTTCGGTCTGAGTCACTCTAGTCTCAGTGGGAGTTATTGCCTGTAATTACTGCCACTGCTAAGACCTTCAGGCTATAAATTGAACTTACTGAGTGTATAGGATTGCAGGCAGAGTTTATTCTCACAGCAGCTCAACAGCATCTACAGCAGCAACATGCATAGATTTGTGTGCAAAAATGTAGAGCATTTAGGTTCTCAAGAACAGGGACTGTGTATTGGTTCTGGTCATAACCTCCAGCCGGTTGCCAAAGGGAAAACAACACTGTGGAGTGATGATCCTTTGGGAAATCTGAGACAGATCCCCAAAACTCTTCTGTACAGGAGGGTAGCAAGAGACTTAAGGGTAAAGGTAAAGGGACCCCTGACCATTAGGTCCAGTCGTGGCTGATTCTGGGGTTGCGGCGTTCATCTCGCTTTACTGGCCGAGGGAGCCGGCGTACAGCTTCCAGGTCATGAGGCCAGCATGACTAAGCCGCTTCTGGCGAACCAGAGCAGTGCACAGAAACGCCGTTTAGCTTCCTGCCGGAGCGGTACCTATTTATCTACTTGCACTTTGACGTGCTTTCGAACTGCTAGGTTGGCAGGAGCAGGGACCGAGCAACAGGAGACTTAGCAACCGGAAAATATTACTGCTGTTCTTGATATTATATTGAATATGTGATTTCAACATTTTTACATTACATTTCTGTTGCTTTTCATTATAGGCCACGATGAGGGTGGTTTTAATAGAAAAGCAGGGAATAACTATTAATTCCCCATCATCTATATTTCATGGAAAAGTCAGCAAATGCAAGTTAGCAATTGGGGAAAGGGTGGAAAAGAAGGGGGAGCTGGTTGTCCACTGGCTGTTGTATCTAGCTTTGAAAGAAGGAGCTATGATTCCATCAATAAAGGATATTAAGTGGGTCCAATGGTCAGGAAGGCGGTTTCTGCACATCCTGTACAGAGACGTGAGGAGCAGATATGGGGCTCATCAACCTGGGAAGGCTGCCCGTCTAGGAGAAGGAAAACTCTGGTGCTAAACCTCCACTGCCTTGCAGGATATTTTCAGGAGAAGAAAATGCTAAGGAGTAAACCCAAAACAAATCTGGAGTGGAGTCCTTGAGATGGTTGGGTGGCATTTTGTACCCCTCGTTCCAGCAACTCCTGCAGCCAAGCTGGTGCCAAATGTGTTGCTGTGGTTTCCTTTCGACCACATCAGCAAGGGGAGTGGGGCTCTTGTCATCTGGACAGCCCAGAACCTCCATACACACTGTTCAGGCTTGCGCCCTGGAAAGGTCACTTTGGTGCTGCTTGTGTAGCCATTTGACTTCACCCCTGGAGCCACACTCCATTGCTTCTCAAGATATATGGATGCCAACCACATCAGCTTTCACAAACCTGGTGCTCCAGCTGGATAGCTCAATTGGTTTGAGCATGAGACACTTAATCCCAGGGCTGTGGGTTTTGAGCCCCACGTTGGGTGAAAAATTCCTACATTGCAGGGGGCTGGACTAGATGATCCTCATGGACCATTCCAACTCTGGACCATTCCAACTCAGACCATTCCATTCCTCATGGACCATTCCAACTCTGGACCATTCCATTCCTCATGGACCATTTCAACTCAGAGCGGCTGGGGCAACCCAGCCAGATGGGCAGGGTAGAAATAATAAAATATTATTATTAATATTCTGGTAACCCGCCCTGGCAGAAAGGCGGCTTATCAAGGAAGAACCGCCGGCCCCAAATCAGTTGGAGATGGATCAGTTCACTGAGCAACGAAGGGCTCAGAATGAGTCTCCCGTAGCAGATCTGCCCATTAGCGACCCCGTCCAGGAGACCGTGGTGGTCACGCCGCACGCGCGGACAGAGGAGTCTCGTCGCACGATATCGCGAGATCTGAAACGCCAGGGCGCCGCCATGTTGGCTGCTGGTGGGGAAGCGGCTGCGGCAAAGAGTCTTTTCTAAGGAGCGTGCCGCCGCGTTTCGTACTTATGGGTTCGCAGCATTTCGCGTCGCAATTTGCCTCCGCGAGGCTGAGGAAGCGCGGCCCAGCGCAAGGCGCTCCGCCGGGTCGTTCGTACGGTTGACGTGGGGGCCGCCATGTTGCTGTACGTCGGCGCCGGCGCCGCTAGAGGGCGCCGGGAGAGGCTATTTCCGCTTCCGGAAGAGGCCGCCGCTTCCTTTCTCTCCCTGGGCCTCAGCGAGCTGGCAGGTCCGGGCTAAGGGCCGCCGGTGAATCCGCCTCCATCCTCCGCCTGCCGCGGGAGCTTGAGCCTTCTCAGCCGCCGCCATGACGGAGCAGATGACCCTGCGTGGCACCCTGAAGGGCCACAACGGATGGGTGACCCAGATCGCCACCACCCCTCAGTTCCCGGACATGATCCTCTCCGCCTCACGCGGTAACGGAGGGCCGGGCCGGGAGAGACCAACTCGAGCTGGGAACGCGGGGAGGGAAGCGTGGAACGGGATGGGAGAGACCACCGTGTGATGCGGGGGGGGGGAAGAGAGAAGCGCCTAGTTGTCGCGTGTGACGTGAAGGACGCGATCATGCAGCCCCATCTACGTGTAATAGGGAATGGGGCATGAGGAGAGAGACAATCACGTGCTAGACAGGGTGAGGGTTTGGGGAGGCTCCGAGGCCCCAAGTGTTTTTGGGGGAGGGGCGATTAAGGTAAGAGGATAGAAAACCAAATGAATAGCAAGGGGTCAGCCACAGAACCATGTGAGTGGGAAGGGACCACGGGGGTCATCTAGTCCAACCCTCTGTAATGCAAGAATATTTTGTCCACTGTGGGGCTCGAACCCACAACCCTGAGTTTTAAGAGCGTCATGCTGTACTGACTTAAGCTGTCTCAGCAGATTGAGGCAGAAAATGAGGTGTATGTAGCAAGGCCCACCTGCTTCTCTTTCTTCCCAGCCCTGATGATTAAATTTGACATTTGTCTGCTGATCTTCATGAGGTCTGAAGACATGTCCTGCAATTATGATGGGGCAGGAGAGGAACTATTCTCTTTGGTTGGCCTTCAAAGCCAACCAAAAGTGGCCAGGAGCAAGCCTGCAATTCAGGAATAATGAGGCTCTACAGCTGGTCATTCATACTTCCTCCATTAATTAGCAGCTCTAGCTTAGGAGGGATTGATTTCAGGCTTTAATTTCTGTCTTGTTAATTTATACCCCATCTTTACTCCAACACACTCAAGTTGGTGTGTGTGGCATCCAGCTTAGTGTCACACCTTGTAAGGCAGGTGAGGCTAAGCAATTTTGCCACTGGCCCTGGGAGCTTTGTTGCTTAGTGGGGATTTGAACCCTGAGGTCTCTCTGGTCCTAGTCTGACATGGTAACCGGGGGGGGGCGGTAAGCCAACTCCAGATGTTGTTGGACTACAACTCCCATGATCCCTGTTGGTTGGCACCTCATAGACATCCTCTGCTCTAACTGCTATACCAGGCACTACATCCTTAGCACATGGTTCATAGGGTGGTTCCTTTCTGAGCCTCGATTATGCCAGAGAAGGAGCAAGCAACCTATTTGGTGATGTGAGCCAGTACTAACTTTTAGAGCAACTGCTGAAGCCGGAGGAGTCCACAGCTCTGGTGAGCAATTGAGGATAGCTTTCTCTGTGGTATTCGTGCACAGGTGGATGTCTAAAAGGGGGTAGTACTGGGGTGTTACAAAGGATACCTCGTATTTGGATCTAGATGCGGAGACCTACAGTTAATTCCTGGTGAAGCTGTAAAATCTGGGTCATAATTGTGTGTACAGTGGTACCCCGCAAGACGAATGCCTCGCAAGACGGAAAACCCGCAAGACGAAAGGGTTTTCTGTTTTGGAGGCGCTTCGCAAGACGAATTTCCCTATGGGCTTGCATCGCAAGACGAAAGCCCATAGGGAAATGCTGGCGGTCGGGAGCAAAGACTTTCGCCCACAGCCGGCCTTCAGAAGAGGACCTCTTCTGAAGGCCGGCGGGGGGCAAAAGTCTTTGCTCCCCCCCGCCTGCCTTCCCCCCGCCTGCCCGGGGCGATCTTAAAATGCTGGCGGGCGGGAGCGAAGCGTTCGCTGCCGACCCCCAGCATTTTAAAATCTCCAAGGGACAGCAGAGAAGTCTCTGTCCCGGGGAGATTTTAAAATGCTGGGGGTCGGGAGCGAAGCGTTAGCTGCTGACCCCCAGCATTTTAAAATCTCCCCCTGTCCCGGGGAGATCTTAAAATGCTGGGGGTCGGGTTCGCTGCCGACCCCCAGCATTTAAAATCTCCCCGTGTCCCGGGGAGGTTTTAAAATGCTGGGGGTCGGCAGCGCTTCGCTCCCGACCCCCAGCTTTTTAAAACGCTGTTCCGAAGGGGGGGGTGGGGACAACCTGCCCCAGCCGCCCCACTTCGGAAAGCTGTTCCGAAGTGGGGAGGGGGGCGGGGACACCTGCCCCAGCCGCCCCACTTCGGAAAGCTGTTCCGAAGCGGGGAGGGGGGGCGGGGACATCTGCCCCAGCCGCCCCACTTCGGAAAGCTGTTCCGAAGTGGGGAGGGGGGGCGGGGACACCTGCCCCAGCCGCCCCACTTCGGAAAGCTGTTCCGAAGTGGGGAGGGGGGGCGGGGACATCTGCCCCAGCCGCCCCACTTCGGAAAGCTGTTCCGAAGTGGGGAGGGGGGGCGGGGACACGTTTCTCCGCTGTCCCGGAGGGCTTTTGAATGCAGGCGGGGGGAGCAAAGACTTTCGCCCCCCCCCCAGCCTTCAGAAGAGGTCGGGGGACAGACTGTCCCCGGACCTGGTCTGAAGGCGGTTTCCCTAGGAACGCATTAATTGATTTTCAATGCATTCCTATGGGAAACCGTGCATCGCAAGACGAAAAACTCGCAAGACGAAGAGACTTGCGGAACGAATTAATTTCGTCTTGCGAGGCACCACTGTATTTGATGGCAGTCTCTGGTCTGAGAGGACTTTTCTCTCCAGGGGAATTGTAGTTAGGAACTGCATCTTTCATGTGGTTTCAAGTGAGGGCATGTTAAGAGTTTGCAGGAAGCCTTGGCTAGTCCGGTCCTCACTGAGATGGTAAAGCAGAGTCTGGACTGTAACACTTCAGAATGCAAGTGGGGGCTGGTATAACTTGAGTGCTCCTCCAGCCACACACTTCCCTTCACATGGAAAACTAGATGTTGGGGAGAAGTATTCTAACCTAGCCATCTCCCTGAAATGCTAGCTTTCTGTGTGCAGGAAAGTGTTTGGCAAGGTGGCGCATTCAACTAGGCAAGTCCCCACCTCCAGTCTGAAGTGGTATAGTCCAGGCATGACTTTACTCCCTCACTAGGAACTTGGTCACAGTGGAGTGCAGCAGCCTGCTTCAGGGAATGAGTAGTAAAGGAATGAGATGCCTCCCGCCCCTCAAGCAATATCTATCTCAGTTTTGAGAAAATCTGTGGAAGAACCATTTGCTATCTTTTTCCTCTTGCAGACAAGACGATCATCATGTGGAAGCTGACCCGGGATGAAACCAACTACGGGATCCCCCAGAGAGCCCTTCGGGGCCACTCCCACTTCGTCAGCGATGTGGTTATCTCCTCAGATGGGCAGTTTGCCCTCTCTGGCTCATGGGACGGCACCCTGCGCCTCTGGGATCTTACCACGTGAGTGTAGATTGGGGAAACAGGGTCTGTGTTGATTGAAAAGGATTGTCCTCAGCAGACTGATTATATGTTTCACTCTGCCCAGTTCTCCCGTGGTTTCCCCCTTTCTTCTAGGTTTTTATTCCTAGTACGGTTTCCTGTTTTTATCACTGGTTGCTTTGGGATCAGGGTTTTGTGCTTGCTTCCTCCTGTCCCGATGATTAGATCTGACACAATATCTACAGACTCCACTGGGGTTTGATGATACGTCCTGCAATTATGATGGGACACTACAAGAGAGACTGAGAAAATGGAAGCTTTCTGTTTTATTGGAAAGGGGAGGGGAAGGGGAAATCAGTTGGAAGGAGACATCTGTTTCTGGCAGGTTTTTGGAATTGCACATTTCCCCATACAGGACATTTCAGGTTGCCCTTGTCATGGTTCCGCAGTGAGGGTGCTAAGAAATTCTCAGATCCTTCATGCCCCTTTCATTTCCCAAAGTTTGGGGAGGGTCATGGACTCGGTTCAGTGTAGATCAAAGGGAAAACCTCTTGTTGCTGGTTTGTTAGTTGCTCACCCTATGAGAGCTGCACAAGGTGGTAGGAGAAGCTCTGCTTCCCTCTCTTTAGGACTCATTGGCTACTGAAATTGGAGTGAGGGACGTGGTCCTGTCTCAACTCCCAGAAAAGTTCCATTGAAGCAGGAGATCCTCTTCAAAAATTAACCTTATGCGCCCTAGGAGGAGATCAAGGCCAGAAGGGGAGGGTCTTTGCAGGGGAAAGAGGTTACAGGAAGTAGCATGGCAAGGGAGAGAAAAATGAGATTTGGTCTGAGGGGCTTTTTCTTTCCTGTGTTGCACTGGGTTTGTAATGAAATGACATCTCCCTTTCAGAGGCACCACCACCCGGCGTTTTGTGGGCCACACCAAGGATGTGCTGAGTGTGGCTTTCTCTTCTGACAACCGCCAGATCGTCTCAGGTTCCAGGGACAAAACCATCAAGCTCTGGAACACTCTGGGAGTCTGCAAGTACACTGTACAGGTGAGCCTCTCCTCCCTCCCAGATCTGGGCATTGAATACCACTAAAGTTCACATCCCTTTGTTTTAGATTTTTTAAATATACATCACCCAATCAACTGTGTCCTCTGTGTGGGTCACAAATGTAAAATAAATCAAACACAATAAACAGTATTTTAAAAGCAACACCGTGATATCATTTAAATGAAGCACCAAATGTACAAAGCCTTGATGTGCCTTTAGTTGCTGTTCCTCCAGACAGTTGCTGCAGGTGCTCAGAAAAGGGAAAACTTGCACTGCTCAATTCATGTTTGTGGAGAAAGGATGTGTTGGATCCTGCTTGGGTCTGAGGGCATACCCTGCGTTTTACATAGAGGTAACATTTTGATCCTACCCTTCCAGTCTCTCCTCATCCTTCTAGAGGACTGGAGCTGCAACACTAAAAGCCTGATTTCTAGTGCAAACTAAGCATGCTAGTGGGGCAGGCAGTCCTCTTAGCAGTGCCCCTTCTGCAGAGCACAGTTGCCAGCCCAGGATATATATTGGGTGAGGAGATCTCTTGTGTACCCTGATCCCAAGTTGTTAAGGGCTTTAATTGCTCAAATGTTAACCTCTGCCAATGCTCATGACACTTTATAGCAGTTCATAAAGGGAGGGGGGGAAAGAAGTCTGTGCCCCAAGGAGCTTACAAGCTATAAATTTTGACAGGATGTGGAGACAACGGAAGGATGGAGGGAATGGGGAATACATGTGCAAATGCAGTTAGATGTGCTCAAGTTTCCTTATTGATAAGGAGCTAGAACTAGGAGGTGACACATGTGCTTCAGTTTTTCAGAATGGTTGTTTCTCTGTAACATCCTGTTATCAGCTTGTACTAAGAGCTGTCATACCTTCTTTTTTCTCCACTCAGGACGAGAGCCACTCAGAGTGGGTGTCCTGTGTGCGCTTCTCCCCCAACAGCAGCAACCCCATCATTGTCTCCTGTGGCTGGGACAAGCTCGTGAAGGTGAGTCGAGGATCAGCCTTAATCCTCAAATCTCTGTCTAGGGCCTCCCCCTGGAAGTGTCTAAATGATGCACAAGCATTCTCTTTCCTGTCCTCTCTTTTGATAATCTGGAACCAGCCCTTCAGATCTTCTGGTAAGGAGGGGCAGGACTTTGGTGTGTGCTGGAATCTCACTACCTCTCTACTCAACTAGCAAAGCAAAAGTCCTGAAGCCAAGCCAATGAGTTGTGGAGGTGCGGGAGGGGGGATTGGAGGGAGAATTGGGGCCACGGGGTCCATCAGATTTGCAGCAGCTTATAAACAGTAGGGTGTTCTCTTGTCCTCTTAGCATAGGTGACTCAATGAGTAATACAGTCTCTTTGTTGCTGCTCCAATTGGAGCAGGAGTAGAATTCTGCTTACTCAGTCTTGCAAAGAGAGGAGATATATTGGTTGACTGCTCTTTTCACTAAATAGGCCTGCATCAAACAGCCATGTTTTATTATGTATCGGATGTTCAGTTATACTTCTATTAGACAGGCACCAGTTTTGTTAGGCAGGCTGTAAATTACCCGAGTGGGTGAGACACTTTTCAACAATCACTGGATCAGGAATTTGGTCACACGGCAAGAGCTCACCTTGAGATTAACAGCATCAGCGAATCATTTCTGAATTTGTACTCTCCCCATCTTGCAGGTGTGGAACTTGGCTAACTGCAAGCTGAAGACCAACCACATTGGGCACACTGGCTACTTGAACACAGTGACAGTCTCGCCCGACGGCTCCCTGTGTGCTTCAGGTGGCAAGGTAAGTCTCTGTGGCAAGCCTCCCCTCAAGAGGTTGAACCTGTGCAAAGGTATAGCCGTGTGCCTAAAGCTTACTTGTTCAGACACACTTTGCCCAGTAAGTCATGTTACCTCCACACACAACCATCAAATTGGATTGTGTATGAATTCATGAAGTATGGTTTTGTATTGATTTATTCATTGCATTTTATAAATTCTGCATTACACCTTGCTTTAGATACTTTTAATACAAAGCAGTGTAACTATTTACTTGTTAATAAATAATAAACCAGAGGAGGTGGAGAGGAACTACTTTTCTTCTTTCTCTACACTTCTGCTTATCTGGTAAATCGGGAGGCCTGCCACTATAAATTGGCCAGGTGTGTTGTTTATTAGGGAGTGAGAGAGACAGAAGGAAACATGGGCAGTTGCTGTGAACCGGACGTTGCTTAGCTCAAGGTACTTAGGGGGAGTTGGCTCACGGGTGTCGTGTTCTCGCTAGAAGCATCTAACCTAGACTTGTAAAAATAAGTTACTAGTCTGCTAGGGGCATAGCCATGCTTGTCATGGAGGGAGGGGGAAGCCCTCTTCCATTTCCAGTAAGGAAATCCAGGATTCCTTTTCACCAGCCTTCTAATTGCGGACAGAGGGGAGTTAGAGCTGAGGGTCCGTCTTTCTTGCCTGCACAGCTACAACGACAGCAACACAGGAAGCTGCCTTAGACCGTTGGTCTGTTTTGCTCAGTGTCATGTATGCTGAGTGGCAGCAGCTCTTCATGCAATGGTTCTTTTTCGGCCCTAGCGGGAAGATACTGGGGACTGAGCCTAGGAGCTTCTGCATGAGAGCAGGTGCTGTACCACTGGGCTATGCCCTTTCCCTGAATCGATGGCTTGGGGGCCAAATATGGTCCTCTGGATTCTCCCCAGGCCACAATTGCCACTGCCATTTATATGCTAAGCATGGTCCTCTTTGTGGTGAGGAAATGGGTGTCTCTGCGTAGCAGGTGGCGGTTACAGAAACAAGCTTCCTCAGCTCTTCTAAGTATCGATCAGGGGGGGGCTTTTTCCCAGCCCAAGGAACACTGTCCCTTCTGCTGATAACATAGGGAGTGTAGCGTTAAAAACAGTCCTGGAGTTTGTATTGTGGAGATATCCTCAGAATAGACTGCAGAAATAACTTCCTAATTAAAAGCAATCTAGGAGCAGAGGAAGCTTCGCAGGCTAATTTAGAATTGTAGAGTTGGGAGGGATCTCAAGGGTTATCTAGTCCAACCCCCCTGCAATGCCAGAAGCTTCAACCATCCTCTGCTTTGAAACCTTCCAGGAAGGAGGAGGAGGTCTCATTGGGGGGGGGGGTGTTCCGGGATGCTTGATCTACAAGAAATCATGCTTTTAAACGGAGTATGTGAGCAAGATGCTGCCCCCTTTTCTTCTGCCTAGCTCAGTGCTCTTGTCTGCTTAGTGACATTTAGCACTTTACCATCCTGCCGAGATCTAGGCAGAGAATCCTGACTGCTGTGATGAAACTTATACATGCCATCTGACTTACTAACATGCGGATACTCAGAGGCTGTTTCTGAGCTGTCAAACATTGGGTGGGAGATCTGTTGCTTTGGAGAAATGTTCCTTTCCCCCCGCCCTTGACAATTTCTGTTTGAGGGACAGGGGGTGCATGAATTAATAAGTTAAATGCCTCAGATTTTTTAGGGGCCTTGAGTAGGTGCTGGGAGGAATGGGGAGACTCGGACGCATTAAGATTCGCAGCCTATTGCCCTTTTCCATTGCAAAACCATTCTGGACTTGGGGGCTTTAAATCTAACGTCTGCTTTCTTCCACCGCAGGACGGCCAGGCTATGCTGTGGGACTTGAACGAAGGCAAGCACCTGTACACCCTGGATGGTGGAGACATCATCAACGCCTTATGCTTCAGCCCCAACCGCTACTGGCTGTGTGCAGCCACTGGACCCAGCATCAAGATATGGGTAAGTTCAGAGCTTGATGTTGGCTGTTGAAGGTTTGGGAAGAACGAAGGAGATTAACTCTTCTCCCAGCCTGGGTCTTGTTTTCCTTGTCAAAATTATGTTGCTGTTCCCTTGACATTTCTTCCTTGGCAGTCCTGGGAGAGTCGTGTTAGGTTCCTGCAGCTGAAGTTCCTTGAATTTATAGTTTGAGCTTCTGAGATCTCAGCAGGCCAGAGCAGGATGTTCAGGGGTCAGGCTGGCATAGCTCCTTATATGGTAAAAACAAACTTAAGTTATGCAAAGCATTGTACACAAATTAATTTGTATGGGCTGCGGAATGTGCCTTTCTTTGGCGGATAATTACTGTTTCAAGGCTAAATGTGGTTTTCTCATTCTGCCGTCTAAAGAGCAAGGGGCCTTTCTCTTAATGTCAGTGTGCAGAAGATTCAGTTGCCTGGACGTCTCCTGCTCCCTGCAACTGCAACACCCAGCCTTCTCATTTTTGAACAGAAGATGCAAATCTAATTGTGGCTGAAGGTGTTTGCGTACTTTTATTCCAAGTTAAAATCTGAACTGCCACAGTGGTGGAGAAAACAGAGATTCTTACTTAAGAAGAAGTAGCCTCTCTGGTAAGAGAACTGGTACAGTGGTGCCCCGCAAGACGAATGCCTCGCAAGACGAAAAACCCGCAAGACGAAAGGGTTTTCCGTCGCAGAGGCGCTTCGCAAGACGAAGTTCCCTATGGGCTTGCTTCGCAAGACGAAAACGTCTTGCGAGTCTCGCCATTTCTCTTCCCCCCCTTTTTCAAAGCCGCTAAGCTGTTAATAGCCTTTTAACAGCTTAGCCGCTAAGCCGCTAATAGCGCTAAATCGCTAATAGCGCTAATCCGCTTAGCCGCCAATGGGGTTGCTTTGCAAGACGAAAAAACCGCTAGAAGAAAAGAATCGTGGAACAGATTCTTTTCGTCTTGCGAGGCACCACTGTACTTGCAAGCAGGTAGATAGTAGCAGTGATGATATTCAGATGACTGTTAGGGCCCACCCAACTGTACAATTCTGTGAAGCAGAGAAGCAGCAACAGCTGCCAGTGGCAATGGAAGGGAACGCATTGTGAGTGGTGATTTCAGGCTTGAGAGCGAGGGGACTGACGTGCTGTGATGAAACACACTGTGCCGTCTGATTTTGCTTCCGTGCGGAAAACCAGAGGCTGTTTCTGAGCCTGTTGCCCAAACTACATACAGCATGCAAATAGCAGGTGGAAATTGAACAAAATGTTCGGCCTAGAAGTCAGCAACTCCCATTTGACCATCTAACCCCTGCTTTCTTAACATCAGGACCTGGAAGGGAAGATCATTGTGGATGAGCTCAAGCAGGAAGTGATCAGCACCAGCAGCAAGGCGGAGCCACCCCAGTGCACCTCATTGGCCTGGTCTGCTGACGGACAGGTAAGAACCGGGCTGTGCAATCAATCAATCTTCATTGCAGTCAAAGACCAGACAGCAAAGCTAACAACAACAAATGCCACAACCACATAAAGAAGCGGATGTAATTAAAAATCCCCTATAAACTTATTTACATTTAAAAAATCACTCCTTCAGCTAAAATCTGTATTCAGGAGATTAAAATCAGTAGTCCTTGTTGCTATAAACAGCATTTTGCAGCAGGCTGTGCAAGATGCCGAGGGCCGTGCAGGAAGTTTAAAAGAGCTGCTGCGTAGAGAAGCTCAAGCAGAGGAGGTCCCAGAAATTGCTATGCCAGTGTGGGGTAGCCCTGCCTCTTCTCTCCCCCCCATCCCTTTCTGCTGCATCCTGAGGAGCGTGGCTTCTCAGCAAAGTCTCCCGTTGACTTTCTATCCAACAGTTGGTTCATGCAAAGTGATTGTTGCTCCCTTGTCAAAAAGCTGTCGCCCAGTCGCTTCCTAACGCTGTTTCTCCCTCTCTGTTCCATCAGACTCTGTTTGCCGGCTACACGGATAACCTTGTTCGGGTCTGGCAGGTCACCATCGGGACCAGATGAGAGAGTGCAGTTGACCACAAGGCGCAGACATATAATTATGTACAAAACAGAAACAATAAACTTTTTGTGCTGAACGTTATCACTGTGTCCTGCTTCTCCCCCCCCCCCCCCCCCCGGATATACCTGGAAAATGAGAATCACTATTCACATTTAACTATTTTTTACAGGCTTCTCTCCCAACCCACTGCTGTATCAACACTCAGCTGATGGAAGCTGCCATCGCTTCAACCAGGAATAAATAAAACGCCTTGTTCCCTTAGATCAGGAATGATAAACATGTGCACCAGGGGCAACCCAGAAACTGCAAGGAGTAGACCAAAGACCCCTGCAAACCTCAGTCACATCTCAGTGCTGAGATGGGGTGATAAAATCCTCTACAGAACTTTTTAGAGAGGAAGAGTAAAAAGCAGCATATTCCCCACCGGGGTGGATTTAAATCACTAGTAAGACTTGATTTATTTATTTTTTTTAAATCATATTTATTGAAATTTTCCCAAAAAAAAAAAAAAAAGAAAACATTTACATTTAAGCCTTACTTTCAATAACATCTTTCCAAGACTTCCCCACACCTCCCCTTCTTGTATTCCATTTCCATTTGTTTAGTTCAACAAGTTCTTATCCCAAGTTTTTGACCTTATTGTATTTCGCCCATTATTCAATTTAGTTCATTTTATATAGCCACTTTCCCTTTATAATCCACAGTCTTTAAACATTAAAATCTTTTTCTAAGGTCGACCCCAATTCCCTTCCACGAATTCCCCTTTTTTGTACTCATAACAAAACAAAATAAAGAAAAAAGAAAAGTTCAAAATATAGTTGTACGCCCTTTGGATTCCCAAACTCCAACCCCCCTTTTCCGGTTTCGATCCCCAATATCCATCAGTCTATCTGCTATCAGCCTGGAGATCTCACATCCGAGGCCCTTAATTCTCTCTCAGTTCCTCTTTGCCGGTTTATTTGGTTAGTAAGACTTGATTTAAATCATTTTTTTACAGAAAGACTTCATTTTTGGAATAATAAATTTTCAGAGTATTTACAGTTACATCAAACATTACTGATTTGGTTAAACTATTGGAAATACAGATAATTATGAAATTATTGTGAGGTTTAATAAGTGGACTGTTTATATTTGCAGAACTTTATTGGAAGTAGAGAAATAATCATTTCTTTAACAATTTAAACAATATATTTAACTAAAGCAGTAACATTATAGCATATGTATCCATGTTTGTTAACTGATGTGGTTAAACAGGTTTTTTTTAAAAAAAAACCTTAAGACTAGTTTTAGCACACATGAAAAACTAAAGCAAATCCTTATTTCCTAATGAATAGCCTTTGGACTATAATGTAACTTAAATAGAAAACTATCTTTAGAAAGATTTTTTCCTCCAAAAGCATTTTATTTTAAAAATCCGATTTAAAAAAAAACAACCCCATCCTGTTCCCCACACGACAGCCCAAAAGCATTTTATTTTAAAAATCTGATTTAAAAAAAACACCATCCTGTTCCCCACACCACCGCCCAACCACTGGGGAGGACTTGGGTAAGAGCTGTCTTCCTGCTTGAGTGTGTGCTAAGCCTGCAAGTTCAGGTCTGCTTGGTGTGTATGTATAGGGAGGCTGTATGTGTTTTTGTGCATGTATACATACATCGGCCACATGTTTATTTGGCCCTCAGACTGAAAAAGGTTATGAAGATCACCCGCTGAGACCCTACAGCTAATTCCTTGCTGGCCCAAGTAGGACCAATTCAGCCAGCTAGCCCTGGGGATTATCTTTTTGATTTTTGAATTTTATTATTCATGTTTTTATACTGTATTTTGTGCTGCTTTTATAATTAAGTGTTTTAAAGTGTTTTAAATTTGTTGTTAGCCACCCTGAGCCTGGTTTTTGAACCGGGAAGGGCGGGATATTAAAAAAAAAAATTATTATTATTATTATTACCTACCTTTGCCGTGAGAGTAACAGAGCTGTCGAACATCAACGTGCCTGTCTAGGACAAGTGATTCCAAGCTTATTCCTTGAAAGCCCATGCAACTCAAGACAACTTGCATGGTTGGTTTGTTTTTTTTAAATACCTTGTTACAAAAGCCCTGTTCAAACCCAGCTGCTTCTGTACTGCGTTAAACATTTTGGGACTAATCACAGAAGCATCAGCACTAGAACAGGGAAGCTGGATTGTATGGGTCTTCAAGAACATGAATACGGTTTTCCCTGGATATAAAAATCTTAAATGGAAGGGTATGATGCTCATACTGGGTCCACTATTCAAAAACCGGTGACAAATGCATCATAAGATCACCGGATGCAAATACCAGGACAGAAGCAATTTAGGGAAAGGCGCATAATAGCTAACCCCCCACCCACCCTGGCGCCTATGATTTAAAGTACCGGTGGTGGTTTTGAGACTTAAGAAAAAGGTCACAGGCAAGTGAAAGAGAAAATGATGGATGATTTCAATTACCTGCGCAGAGACTGCATATAGACATTGTGAAAGTAGTGTTGCTTAGAAAAAGTTGGTTTCCAAGGGAGACTCCATTGAGTCAAATTGGAGGTTATTTTGAAACAAATGAGCTCAGGTTTCTGCAGTGATTGGGAAACTGGAACCCCAAGAGGATGCTGGTGTGTGCAGCTTATGCAGGATAAGAGAGCTTCCTTTGCAAAAAGGAAGTATATTACTGCCCAGTATGTTTAAAAACAAAAAAAACCCAAAGCAACCTCCTTTAAATATATCAGAAGCAAGAAATCAGAATAAAGGAAAACTGTTAAAGGAGTTTGGGAAGACTGCAGGAAGCTCAGTGACTTATTCCCCCTGCTGCTAAAAAGCACCCAGTGTGTTTCCAAAGAGCATGCGTAGGCAAACTAAGGCCTGCGGGCTTTCAATCGCCTTCTAAATCCGGCCTGTGAACGGTCTGGGAATCAGCGTGTTTTTACATGAGTAGAATGTGTCTTTTGATTTAAAATGCATCTCTGGGTTATTTGTGGAGCCTGCCTGGTGTTTTTACATGAGTAGAATGTGGGCTTTTATTTAAAATGCATCTCTGGGTTATTTGTGGGGCATAGGAATTCATTCTTCCCCCCCCCCAAAAAAAATAGTCCAGCCCCCCACAAGGTCTGAGGGACAGTGGACTGGCCCCCTGCTGGAAAAGTTTGCTGACCCCTGCCAAAGAGGGTCAACAATATAACAGCAAATGAAATTTAGTGTTAAGTTAGCACACACGGGTGGAAAATCCCAAATTCCCACTGATAGTAACTGCTGGTTGAGACCCTAACTAGCCAAGAGATCTTCAGAGTTGTGGCAGAAAACCCAATGCAACCATTAATTCAATGCAGAGCTGCAGTGAAACAAAGTCCATGCTTTGGGATTATGACATACTGATATAAAATGCTCAGTATCAAGTTGCCTTATGTAAAAAATCATCCTGTCATGGTTTTGAACACTGCCGAGACCAAACACAGAAAGCTTAGTGAGTGTTCACCAATGAAGTTGCTCCATTTGCGCAATGGAACTTCCATTCCCCGCACACCCTCCCCAAATCTGGTTTGGGGGTTGGGAAAAACCCAGAGCAGTTTTGTTGGAGGTGGTGCAGGGAGACTTGTAGACGTGGCCTCCTGTGTTGTTTTTGGCAGCAACCAAGTGACCTCCCCGGGGTGCAATCCTGGGCAGTGTGTATGGAAGTCCTGGGCTGCCTAGATAAGACAAGACCCTTCTCTCGGCCTTGCTGCTGTGCTCCAAAGGAAAGCACAGCAAGACATTTAGCACCAGCTTGGCAGCAGCAGTTGCCATAAGGAAGCGTACAAGACACCAGGCCTTAGGGACTTCACTCCAGATTTGTGTATCTCTCCAAGATATCCCACAAGGCAGAAGAGTTTTGGGCTCAGCTTATGTGGTCATTACTGGGCCTTAAAAAAAGAATCAGGTCTCTGTTATGTATTAATTTCTGCAGTGCTGTCTTTGAGGGCTCTAGTCAAGCAGAATGTAAATGTTTTAATATGGCAATTGTAGATATAATAAAAAAAATTAAAAAATATTATTTGTACCCCGCCCATCTAGCTGGGTTTCCCCAGCCACTCTGGGCGGCTTCAAACAGATGTCTCCTAAAAGTCAGATAGTTGTTTATTTCCTTGACAGCTGATGGGAGGGTGTTCCACAGGGCGGGCGCCACTACCAAGAAGGCCCTCTGCCTGGTTCCCTGTAGCTTTGCTTCTCGCAGTTAGGGAACTGCCAGAAGGCCCTTGGCGCTGGACCTCAGATATTTTCTGAAATCTCCCCCGCTTACATGAGAGTTCTGTACGCACTGTGGCATCAGAGTGATTTAAAACTTTAGAAAGGTTTTGTTGTTGTTTTTTGAGAGGGGGACACGTAAAAATGCACTCCGGCTATTGGCATACGTTTGGGGATTTCTTAGCCCAATCCAGCAGCCAGGTCTATGCTCACACAGGGCCTGTCAGATCACTAGCTTGGAAGAAGGAAGCAGAGGGACTTCTTCCCAAGATCCTTCCTGCATCCATGGCAACAAGGCCAATAATGCGGCTAGGGCTAAAAGCACTTGGCCCAGGTATCTACTGACAGCTAGAAAGGAATGAATATTTTCCATACAAGCAGGTCCCAGTTCCAGATAAGGTTGGGAGACCCTGGGAGACAATCTAGTGCAGCAGCCTGACATACCATAAGGCAGTTTCCCATCTTCCCTATACAGTGGTACCTCGGGTTGCATACGCTTCATGTTACAGATGCTTCAGGTTACAGACTCCGCTAACCCAGAAATAGTACCTCGGGTTAAGAACTTTGCTTTGGGATGAGAACAGAAACTGTGCTCCGTTGGCGCAGCGGCAGCAGGAGGCCCCATTAGCTAAAGTGGTGCTTCAGGTTAAGAACAGTTTCAGGTTAAGAACGGACCTCCAGAACGAATTAAGTACTTAACCCGAGGTACCACTGTATAGACACTTCCTCCCTCCCTCTGTGTGTCGGAGAGAGAGAGAGAGAGAGAGAGAGAGAGGTGTTGCCATATTTCAAAAAGTAAAAACCAGGATACCCCGCGCTTTTCTTAGGAAGACCCAGAGGTTGTATGGCAGCCCTAAGAGAAAAAGAACACACTACACCTTGCCATTTCCCCCCATCCATTTTCAATATTTGAACAGACCATAAACACAAGAGTTCACTTGTAGAATTGTATTTATTTACTCAACTTTTCCCAAAAAACTAGATCTCCATTGTAAGTCTTTTTTACATATATAGCGAAAAATAGTTCAAAAGGAGCTCTGTAATGCCAAAAAGAATTGAGGGGGCGGGGGAACCAACACATAACAGCTGGCACAGCTAAGGCCTCCAGTGTCTTGCAGTCAGGAGAGAAGAGACTCCACACTGCAGATCCTGGGGCGTGAGAGGAAAAAGCAATTAAAAATAAGTTAATTAAGTCCTACAAGGGTGAGGGGTGTGTGAGGCAGCAGTGATGAAGTTTGATCACCAAAGCTCCTGGTTGGATTACATTCATCCCAAGAGCCACAGCACTCCAATGGTGCCCCAGAAAATAACCACCACCCTTGGACCTGTCATTTCTCCACCCCCACCTCCAAAATGGCCGTTATACCTATCTTTCTATCTCACTAGTAGTATTGATGAATACCTCCCTCCAGGTAAAAGAGATGGGGATAACATAAAGGAAAGAGGGACAAACAGGGACATCCAAACCACACCTGGAACAGAGGGGCAAAACTGGCGTTCCGTAAAAATAAAATGAAATTTGATGTGTGTGTAAACACTGGAAGATGCAAAACAGGAGATCATCAGGAGACAAGACACTGAGGAAGTTGAAGAAGGAACTATACCCGAAACAGGAAACCAGGCTGGACAATTTCTGTGTAGAGTTGAATTTAGATGTACTCACCACTATTAAGTGGTTTCAGGAGGTGACTGGTGCCTTGGGACGGCAAGGCAGGGGGACGGGGGGGGGGAGAGAGAGAGAACGAACTGATTCACAGCATGGACTGGATACAGCTCCAAGAACATGTTGGGACTAGCTATCTTGTCTGGGCACCAAAAGTTAACACAATCCACAAGACCTGAGGGCCTGGCGTAAGACAGTTCAAGTGTCTTTGGAATGTCAAAGATGAACCTCCGACTACTCAGCCACCACTGTCAGAGAACCACATGCCAAATGGGCCTCAGCTCGTCAGAGAGATCCAGGTCCCAGAGATCCTGGAGGACAGGAGGAAAGAGAACCCCGTGGGGGAAGAGAAAGAGATTCTTGCTAGGATGGAAGTGAGCCACAGGAAAGAAATAAAAATTTATCTGGCCGAGCACCAAAAAAAGGTTATCTGTGCAATAATAGATGTATGGAAGTGGGGGTGGGAATCCCCGCTCAGAGCGAACCCACAAGAAGACAGCAAGGTAAGGAATCCTCCAAGGTCCAACACTGAAACAGACCAGGGATCTTGTCAGGGTCAATCGGCTGTGACAGGAGGATTTATCGCTAGGGAGGGGGTTGCATTTAGCTACGTGCAAGAGAAACAGCAGCGACCGTATCAATTGCAGATTTTGATGCGGGTCCCCTTAGAAAGAATGCGGAAGAAGGGGAAGATGCGCTCGCGGAACGAGGCGTTGAAGGTATGGATATGGCCCATGCTCTCGGCATTGTAGAAGCTCAGCTGGCCCCGTTCATAGTCCAGGAAGACGCAGAAGCGGCGGAGCTTCTCAGATGGGGAAAGGGAGGTCTGCTCAGTGGTCGTCAGAGCCTGGTACTTCTTGCCGTTGGTCCCCACACACCAGATCTCCCGTTTCTGGTGGGAGCCTCCGCCGGCGGACTTCTCTTTGCGCCGGGCCGATTCGCGGGCCACCCCCACAGCCCACCCCCGCCGGCCCCCCACCTCCACTTCCCAGTAGTGGCGGCCGTAGGTGAAACCCTGCAAGGCCAGAACACAGTAGTCGGAGTCGAAGCGCTTGGGGCTGTCGGGCAGGTCCCGCCAGCGCTCTCCGAGCCGGACACCGAGGCAGTCCGAGGAAACGGTGAGGCGCGGGTGGGCCGTCTCGGGGTCCAGAATCAATTCAGCTGCAGGAAAGAGAGAGAGGGAAAGAGATCAAGAAAACAAAACGCTAAAAAAAGGAGGTTGCGCATTTGGTTCCTTATACATTTAGTAGGCTCCAAGCATGGAATTCCTCCGATTCACAGCCTGCCTTATTCAAATGGCTCAGGGCAGGTTAATAGCAAAGTTACTCTCAAGAGTTGAATGGAACCATGTTCTTAAGAAGGGCTCTGGCATGGCAGTGACCACCTCTCACAGAACAGGACAACTCCCACAGTTGGTTTTAATTCAGCTGTTTCTAGCCCAGGGGGATGGTAATAACCGTTGTAGTTTATTATGCAAATACACAGGAAGTCTTTAATACAGGAGTGGTCAAGTGGCAGCTCAAGATTTACACCCTATACAAAATTAAAATCTTTCATTTCCTCAATTACACACATGCAGCATGGCCGTGAAGACAGCTACTTCGGCTTTGGCATATTTTACACGACAGATTGGCCTCTGCTCATTCCCATACAATATAATGGATGCTTTAGGGAGGTGGGTGGCGTTGTGATCTAAACCACTGAACCTCTTGGGCTTGCTGATCAGAAGGTCAGCAGTTTGAATCCCTGTGACAGGGTGAGCTTCCATTGCTCTGTCCCAGCTCCTGCCAACCTAGCAGAAAGTACACCAGTGCATGTAGATAAATAGGCACTGCTGCAGCGGGAAGGTAAACAGTGTTTTCGTGCGCTCTGGTTTCTGTCACGGTGTCCCACTGCACCAGAAGCGGTTTAGTCATGCTGGCCACATGACCCGGAAAGCTGTCAGTGGACCTTGGCCTGAAAGCGAGATGAGCACCACAACCCCATAGTCACCTTTGACTCGACTTAACTGTCCAGGGGTCCTTTACCTTTACTTTTACCTTAATGTATGTATTATGAGAGCAGAATCACAGCGTAAAAAGTGGTTTTCCAAGCTTTAGAATTTCACCAGTTCATACAGAATGAGAAGGAGGGGAAATCAATGAAGACATAGCCCTAGCACACCAGCCTAGTGGTCAGCTTCCCACTCAGGCCAACTCTGATATGTCAGTGTATGAAATTCTGATGGTGAGTGGAAAGAAGCTCCTATCTATATTGGTGTTCCCAAAGCTTTAACCATAAAGATGGTGAATCAGCACCGATATGATAGCAGATACAGGGCAGAAGCTTATGGAATAGTCATATGTCTTAGACTACCCAGTGAGCTAATGGTCATGGCAAAACATCCTGGTTTTCAGTTCAGTCTCTTTACCACTGTGCTGCACTATCTCCAAAAGACAATCTCAATGCTTTTGTCTTTTCATAGAACTGCAGAGCTGGAGGGGATGGGGGGGGGATCATCTAGTCCAATGAAGGAATATTTTGCCCAACGTGGGGCTCAAACTCACAACCCTGAGGGTAAGAGTCTCATGCTCTGCCAACTGAGCTATACTGCAAAAGCCTTTTCTTTTGAAGCCTGCCACTGCTCTACCTCTCTCCCACACTATTATCCCACCCCCCTCTTCCATTCCCACCTCCAAACTCCCATTACACAGCTTTATGCCTTGCAACAGCCACCTTCACCCCTTTTCACCAGAACTTTCACCTCTCTTCGGTGCCTCTGAATACGATACGATATGATACGATACTCTTTATTGTCATTGTCCCATACAGAACAACGAAACTGAAAAATCTCAATAAAACATTCAAAACCCAAAAAGCCAGCTATCCCAACCTGAATGAATGAATGAATGAATATCACTACGGCCAAACAGTCAGCACAGCAAAACCAGAATTTCAGCACAAACACCAAAACGGTCAAAGTGGAATTCACCAGACAACATGCCAATTAAAAAGATCTAAAGTATGTACTTCAGTACAGTGGTACCTCGGGTTACATACGTTTCAGGTTACAGACTCTGCTAACCCAGAAATAGTACCTCGGGCTAAGAACTTTGCTTCAGGTTGAGAACAGAAATCATGCTCCAGCGGCGCAGCAGCAGCAGGAGGCCCCATTAGCTAAAGTGGTGCTTCAGGTTAAGAACAGTTTCAGGTTAAGAACAGACCTCCGGAACGAATTAAGTTCTTAACCCGAGGTACCACTGTACATCTTTCCCAGAACCTCCTTGTTCTCCCACTTACACCACAAACAGTTATTCCCCTACTCACACAGGTTGCTAATCATTCCCAGCCTCCCTCTTTTCTCCCCGCTCCACAGTCTATAAGCCCCTCTAGACAAGGGCATCTCTCCAGAATCAGCTGTTTCCTGCAATTCGTTAAGGCAACTGCACAAAAGCCAATTCCTAACCTCCATAAAGCGTGGGATAGACAGCAGCCCTACATGAGGCAAAAGAAAGTCCACCCACATCCCTTAAGCAGTTGCTTCAATTGACTACAGGAGCAAGAGACACAGCAGCAAGGAGGAGCCAGGAGCCTTTTACCTTGAGGGACTTGGCAGAAGATCTTCCCCATCTTCTTCATTAAGACGTCTATAAGGAAGTAGTTTCGAAATTTCTTTCCTGCATCCACTGGCACCATCTCTGGGTCCTGGAACGTAATGTTCTCACACCTGGCAAGTTGATAATTTAGAGCACAAATACGTTAAGGGTGGGCTTGGCAACCAAGGGATAAAGCATTGGGTCAGAAGAAAGGAAGACGACCGCCCACACCACAATGGGACAGGGGGCTATTCCTAGCTCAGCTCGTCCAACCTCCTCCATATTGCTGCAGCGGCACCTAACAGTCCACTTCAATCCTTTGCTTTTAACACAAGAACACCACACACTGAGAGGGAACAGAAGCGAGGAGATTCAAGTTAACAAAGAGGTGAGACGACAAGGTGGCTTTTCACACTTTTTGGTCCTCGCCTTCAAGAAGAAGGTTCAATGAATTCTGCCAAGATTCCAAGCTTACTTCTCGTACGCTATGCTCTCCGTAACGAGCTCAAATATTGATCCATAGATTCGTGAACTTGTTAACAGTTTTGCAGCAAAAAAATGAGGACATAAGAAGAGCCCTTCTGGATCAGACCAAAGGCCCATCTTTTCCAGCATCTGGACATCACAGTGGACCATCAGATGCCCTGGGAAGGTCCACAAGCAGAACCTGAATGCAGCTCCAAGCAACTGGTATTCAAAGGCACACTGTCTTGGAGGTCAGGGGAGGGGAACCTCAGGTCTAGGGGAGCCAGACTGTTAGGCAAAGTACCAGGGTGGATTTGATTTAAATCACGATTTAAATCACTAGTCAGTAAGACTTGATCTAAATCATTTTTTTTACAGAAAGGCATTCCTGCTGGTATAATCTTAATATTTACAACGAGATGAAGGTTTCATTTTTGGAATAATACATTTTCAGAGTAGTTTTTACACTTATATCAAAAATTACTGATTTGGTTATACCATTAGAAATGCATAAATAATTATGAAATTATTATGAGGTTTAATAAGTTAACTGTTTATATTTGGACAACTTTTCTGCTGTACTTTATTGAAGGAGAAAAATAATCATTTATTTAACTAAATTTGTTTAACTAATTTAACCCAGCCAGTTGGGCGGGGTATAAATAATAAATTATTGTTGTTGTTTAACTAAAGCAACAACATTATAGCATATGTATCCATGTTTGTTGACTGATGTGGTTAAACATTTTTATTTTTTAAAAAAACTTAGGCTGAGTTTCAGCACACATGAAAAACTTAAAACAAATCCTTATTTCCTGATGGCCTTTGGACTATAATGTAACTTAGATAGAAAACTATCTTTAGAAAGATTTTTTCCTCCAAAAGCATTTTATTTTAAAAATCCAATTTAAATAAAAAACCTGATTTTTTTTAAAATGTAATTATTTCTTTTCATCCACCTGTAAAGTACTGAGTGACTTTGAAAACATACACCAGTTCATGGGGCCTTATTTCCAGCAGTTTGATAGCAGGCAGGCGAGGCCTCCACTGTGTATTCTTTTCAGCTCCTTCTAGAAACATTTTTGTTCAGACAAGCTTACCACAGATGTATTTTTCTCATGTTTTTAGTTTAGCACATATTTTAAATAGCTGTGTAAACAATATTTTTTTTAATGATAATCTTACTGTTTTATTCTTTTTGTAAACTCCTTTGAGGGTTTTTTAAAAATAAAAAACACAAGCAGTCAAGAAATTACGAATAAATAAAACAAATTTTTAGCAGTGCCGGGAAATGTCATTTTTGATAGCTTACACAAACACCTGTCTGTTGACTCAAAGGAGAAATTGCTGGGTAAGATGTTACTATGTGTTTTAACAAAGCTTCTTAATACCCACTCTGTAAACATTTAGCCTTTCAAGTTACTCTGCCTTCCCTTGATTTGGGAGAGTCAAACACAATTATAGACTTCAATTCAGTGTTAGAAACTGAGGTATGAAAGCTAGGAGCTAAATGGTACATTAAACCTCAGTTATGGATGCAACAACTGAATGTCAAGGCGTGCTTTTTTATAACAATACAAAGCTGAAAATGAATGAACTGCAGCTAAAATATGATGTTCATTTTTCACATGATCTAGCCCTTCCCCTGCCCCCCCCAATACTCTTAAGAGGGCCTCTTCTCTAGTCTTCAGAGTACCTGGAAGTGGGGAGGCAGAATAAGGTCCTCCTTTCCTTCCACTCTGCAGTTTTAATCTGAAATCTTAGGTGCAGTACTGCGCCCGCAGCTCAGAAACTGCTCGAACTAATGAAATTCCCCGTCGCAAAGTACGATTAGAACAATGGGAGTTTCGAACACCGCTTCAATTAGACTCTGTGAAAAACGTTTTCTGCAGATCTGGATTTTATGAAGCAGTAGCAACTATGCCACCATGCACCGAAATACTGCAGCAATTCCAAAGGCTAACCAGCCCCAAACCTGCTTTGCTTCAGCAAGGTTGGTGCACGATGTGCCTTTAGATTATTCCCTCAAACGTATTTTTCCCTGGGGGTGGGCAATTGATGGCAAAAATGGGAGAACCTCAGCTGAGAAAGCAGAGACTACCTTAAGATGGCCTTGGGACACCAGTGCCAGAGATTATGGACTGTGGAAGCAGCAGATCTCTTATCATTCATGGAATTTGATCAAATGAGCATATGGAAAACTACCAAGTATCTCAAGGCCTTTCAGATACACACAGGGTAACCGTCAAGGAGAAATTGAAAGCAAAAACCAAGATCAACCAACCTGACTAAAGTGCCTTTGAAGTCCTAGGAAAAAAGAAGAGAGAAAAAAGTCAAGAAGACAGGCAAATGTGGGGGAAACAAAATTTAAGAGTCTGTAGCCACTTAAGATGAAGATTTGATCTCTTCCAGTCCTACTAAGAGGGAGCATGCAGCAGTGATTTCCTAGTACAACAAAGGGCTGAATGTTCAGACGTAACCCTTAGGAGGACTGAATATAATGATTATTTGCCCAGGAAATTTATGAAGTCAACACCCTTAGAATCTCCAAATCTTCAACATTATTATTTCCTGCACAGGGTGGTCTTATTGGTGGTGGTGGTCTTACATTCTAGACTTTATGAGCAGAGAAAGAATAGTGTTATCTTCCAGACATCACTGGACTCCATCTGTCTGCCAGCATGGCCAACAGTTCAGAAATGATGGGAGTTGTACTCAAGCAACATATAAAAGGCCACAGATTCCCCACCCCTGCATTGGAATCGTCGAAGACAAGTCTGTCTCATGGAATTAGAGCATGGGTAGGCAAACAAAGGCCTGGGGGCCGGATCTGGCCCAACTGCCTTCTAAATCCGGCCCGCGGACGGTCTGGGAATCAGCGTGTTTTTACATGAGTAGAATGTGTGCTTTTATTTAAAATGCATCTCTGGGTTACAGTGGTGCCTCGCAAGACGAAATTAATTCGTTCCGCGAGTTTTGTCGTCTTGCGATTTTTTTCGTCGTGCGAAGCACGGTGTCAGGAAAGCTTTGGAAAAGCTTCAAAAATCACCAAAGTCTTTAAAAACCTAAAAAAGGCTACCACACCGCGTTCTATGAGTTGCTCCTCAATGTCAAGTCGCAACTGTATTAACGGTGTTAAGAAAAAGGAAACAAACTTGCAAGACGTTTCTGTCTTGCGAAGCAAGCCCATAGGGGAAATCGTCTTGCGAAGCAGCTCAAAAAACCCTTTCGTCTAGCGGGTTTTTTGTCTTGCGAGGCATTCGTCTTGCGAGGTACCACTGTATTTGTGGGGCATAGGAATTCGTTCATTCCCCCCCCCCCAGATATAGTCTGGCCCCCGACAAGGTATGAGGAACAGTGGACTGGCCCACTACTGAAAAAGTTTGCTGACCCCTGAATTAGAGCTACTCGAATTCCATATAGCAAACTCACACTTAAAAAACCACAATCCTACACTAAACTCTTTGGGTCCAGGATCTGTACCACTGTACCACTTGTAAATCACTGTGGCACCACAGCCGGGGAGATTCTTGGCCACTGGTCACCCTGAAGCCAGGCAAGTAGAAAAGGGATTCATTCACCTTGATCATCTGCAAGCCATCCTGCTTGCTCTTGTCCTCCGCTTCTGCAATGAGGCGGCTGAGGGCAGCAGCTTGCTCCTCGAGGTGGGAAACGTTGTTACTCTGGCTGGCAAGAAGCACCTCGTAGCGGTCCTCCAGCTGGTGCAGCATCAGTGCCTGCTCCCCAATGAGGAACTGGTGCAGCCGCTCAAAGTCCGCCTCAAAGTCTTTCATATCGAGCTTCATCTTGTTCTGCGGGAGGATAGGGAAGGGTGAGGAAAGCAAGCATGAAGGTGGCTGGAGCAAAGGTTTCATGGCAAAGCACAGTGGAATTATGCACCTCTCTTCTTAGCAGGTAAGCCCCTTTATGAGGGACGTGGGTGGCGCTGTGGGTTAAACCACAGAGCCTAGGACTTGCTGATCAGAAGGTCAGAGGTTCGAATCTCCGTGATGGGCTGAGCTCCCGTTGCTCAGTCCCTGCTCCTGCCAACCTAGCAGTTCGAAAGCATGAAGTGCAAGTAGATAAATAGGTATCGCTCCAGCGGGAAGATAAACGGCATTTCCGTGCGCTGCTCTGGTTCGCCAGAAGCGCCTTAGTCATGCTGGCCACATGAACCGGAAGCTGTACGCCAGCTCCCTCGGCCAATAAAGCGAGATGATCGCCGCAACCCCAGAGTCGGCCACGACTGGACCTAATGGTCAGGAGTCCCTTTACCCTTTACAAGCTACAGAATTCACATTATGGGCACGGAGTCTCAGTACTATCCATATAAACAACGCAACCAATCCACAAACATTGATCAATGGGAAACATTTTTTAAAAAAATACGAAATGTAACTTAGAAAAAATGGGGATGGGAGGTAACATCTTAGACATTTCCTTAGACATTTCCCTTTCTCTCATGTAAGAAAATGCCTCTTCCAAGATTCCACCTGCTGCAACATGTGCATCCATCATCTGAAAAAAACCAAGCTCTTCTTTTCAGGTAGTTTGCATGAGGATAAAATAAGCTTGTCACTTACCCTGAGGTCTGCTATTTTCTCCTGTTCGACTGACTTCTGCTTCATAACAGTCTCCAGTTTCTTCTTCAGTGGATCCAAGTGGCCTTGAAGTTTGGCCTGAAAAATAAAATACTAGAACCTTGGAGAAACAGCCATTCAAGTTGCTTCAGTGTCTGAATTCTAAAGACACTGCAAATAGAATAAATGGTGCTGTCAGGGGTGCTTCAGGTCCCAGCTCACAAAGGACCAACGCCAGTGTCTCTTTATATACAAAAGTCTTTATTGAAGTTCATTGTTGGTTTTACATCCGTGGCGCGCATCCCTACGTCTGTAACTCTAGACCGTCGAAGCTCCGTCTGACTCTTCCCCTCCCCTACACCAGTTTAACACCCAAGCTTTGCTCCACCTCTTCCTCTGCTCTTTTCTCCTCTGGGTCCTCCTGCCCCCTGGGGTTCCACCCTTCCTGGACTCTTCGGAGGCGGATTCCTCTGACTCCTCCCCCTGTCTCCGGCGGGCTTTGGGACCTGGCTCCCAATCCGGATTTTCTGCTGACCCGCGCGCCTGCACATTTGAACTTGGCACGCGCGCCCAGCCGGCCACTTTCCTCCTAACGGCTACACTGCTCCTGTCACTGCTTCCTCCTTCGGAGGGGCTGGCTGGAACTGACCTCTGCTCCGCCCCTCCACTCTCCGACGGAGGCGTGGTCAGTTCTGACTCTCTCTCTCTCCCTGCTGGAGTGGACGCCGGTTCTGATCTGTGGGCTTCTCCCCCCCCCCCCCGCTACGCTCTGGCAGGGAAGCTGGCCCTGATCTCCAGCTGCCGCTTGGGGACTCACCGCTGGCCCCCCTTGCCCTGACCCTGGGCGCCTCTTTCTGAGAATCTTCTGATTCGCTGGAGAGACTCATGGAATCTCTCGGGTCACTGTCATACCCTCCTAAGCTCCCCTCAGATTCCTCCCCTTCGCTCTCCAACTCCTCTTTCCCCTTTGGCTCTGCCCCTGAGCCCGACAGGTGCAATTACATTTTACAGAGCTTCCTGTTCATACATAAGGAGTAGGACAGGCATAGGCAAACTCCGGCCTTCCAGATGTTTGGGACTACAATTCCCATAATCCTTGACCACTGGTCCTGTTAGCTGGGAATGATGGGAATTGTAGTCCCAAACGGCTGGCGAGCCGGAGTTTGCCTATGCCTGGAGTAAGAGCTTGGGAATAAACTTCTTGTTACTAAAAGATATTTTCCCTTTAAAAAAAAGTTTATATCATGCCTCCACTTTTCAGATCATTGCTTTCTGGCCACAGACTTGTCACACTTGGATGCAACTGGTATAAACAGTTGTAGCCTCCACACAACCGCTTCCACAAATCCTGAAAATCTCAGCTATTGTTTAGAAAAGGGAGCACAAGTTTCTAGTCCCTATAGCTTAAGGATTCAGGGGGGTGGGGGTTAAACTATAAAAGTTTATTGCCTGTTTTTTTAATAAAGGATTTGAAATCAGGTAGTGTCCAATGGAAAATATTTGCTTAATGTTATCTCTCATTCCTCTGTTCTGCCCCTCAGGGTCTTACTGACCTAGTTGCATGAAGAAATGCATACAAATACATCATCCTGAAGGAGATTGAGCTTTCTGTACTGCACATCAATGTTCACAGAGGGAAATCAAAGTGCAAAATTTAGATTCTAGTAGTAGTAATAAAACTAAAAAGAAGCTACATGCAGCATTTTTAAAAAAAGTTCAACACACATCTGCATGCCACTCACAAGTGGCATACCGAAGTTTGTGCCACTGGTGTGCATAAAGTGAAACATAAAATTCATGCATTCTTCATACAGGTTTTCTAGTTATATAACTGGATGTTAGGCACAAAATACAAATGAAATGCTTTGAAGAGTAATAGAAGTTAAACAATAGAGCTTTTATCCCTTTATTGTTTCTTACTGCATATCAGCAATTATCATACAGATCAACTGACTGCAATTGTTAGAAAAGAAAACTCCTAAAGTCCTAATCCAAAAATAAAAGATTTTATGAATAGAAGGCTGCCTTAAACGGACACACCCTAAGTCCATCTAGTCCAATATTCTCAACTCTGACAAGATGCAACTCAGTCAGTGGACTATCCTAGCTTTGCTACATAAAAGGCTTTCACTAGAAATGTTAGGATTTGAACCTGGGATGTTTTGCATAAGTTCTAGCACAGGGCTACGCCCCTTGCCTCTTTGCCAGTAGCACGACACACACAACAGATGTTCCCCTAAGCAAGAGGACACATATAGTGGTACCTCAGGTTACATACACTTCAGGTTACAGACTCCGCTAACCCAGAAATATTACCTCGGGTTATGAATTTTGCTTCAGGATGAGAACAGAAATTGTGCTCTGGTGGCACGGCGGCAGTAGCTAAAGTGGTGCTTCAGGTTAAGAACAGTTTCAGGTTAAGAACAGACCTCTGGAACAAATTAAGTACTTAACCCGAGGTACCACTGTACTATAGGTTCAGACTGTACAGTCCTAACATTCACATTGACCCCAGCCTCCTGCATACCTTGTATTCTTGCACAACCTCTTCCAGCGGCATGACGCTGTGGTGCTTATGGGCCCGCGATTCTCTGCACACAACACAGATAGGCTCTTCGTCTGCCTCACAGAAAAGCTTGAGGGGCTCCTGGTGCTTCTCGCACAGGGTTCGCTCAGCACTCAGAGCTCGCCCCGCCGCTAACACGGACAGCGATCCGGATGAATCCCCTGCCGCCGCCAGTTCCACGGCCTCCGTGGACACCGCCACGGAGTTGAACGGCTGCGGGTGCATCTGGCGGATGATCTGCACCATATTGGCCAGCTGGAGGTTGGGGCGGAAGCTGCGGCGAGGGAAAACCTTGCGGCACTGGGGGCAGCTGAAAGCCGGGCGCATCTGGGGGGTCGGCGGGGTCGGGGGCACGGTATACTCATCCTCCGGCTCCTCTTCCTCGTCCATCACCTCGTCGTCGTCGTAGCTGTCGAACAGCAAGTCGTTCCCCATGTCATCGTCCCACATGTCTTCGGACCCGGGGCGCTGGGCCCAGTAGGCTCTTTCGTCTTCATCATCCCACACGTCGTCCTCTTCGTCGTCGAACTCCTCCTCCCGAGACACGACCTCCTCCTCCTCTTCCATGTCCCCGCCATCATCCAAGTACTCGTTGTCCTCCAGGTCGTCTTCGTCGGGGTCGGCGTCCTCCTCCGGCCCCAGGTCGTCGACCCCTCCGTCATCCCCGCCCGCGTCGGAGCCGGGCCCGTACCCGCCGTCCGAGCCGGAGGCGCCCGCGTCGTCCCCCTCCTCCGAGCCCGAGCCCCACAGCTGAGTGATGCACACGCGGCAGAAGTTGTGGCCGCAGCCGATGGACACCGGGTCGATGAAGTAGTCCAGGCAGATGGCGCACACCGCCTCCTCGTGGAGGGTCGCCACCGGGTTGGGGGCGGCCCGGGAGCCGCTACTGGCGGGCGCCGCCGCCGCCGCCATGGGGACCCCGAGTTCTTCCCAGTCGCCCCACACACTTCCCTCGCCTCCCCCCTGAAGGGAGGCGCCTTCCTCCCGCTCACAAGGCCGCTCCCCTCCGCGCTGCTTAGCCCTTCTCCTCACGGCGCCTCAGTTATGGGGGCGCCGCCCGAGGGGCACCCCCTCCCCCCCCCGCGGCTCACCTGGTCGCAGGTACAACCGCTCGAGGCCCAACCGCCCGAGGCCCTTCCGGGCTCCCCCCGCCCAGCCCTGAAACAAGAAGCCGCCTCGGCACGCGCTCCACTCCCGCCGCCCAACTGGCCACGCCGAGGCTCCGCCGCCGCCGCCCGCGTCTCTATGGCGGTTAAGTGCGCCTCGGCGCCGGAAGAGAAGGGCGGGGGCTACGGCGCCGCTCTAGCAACCCGCGGGGGGTTTCTATGATGCGGCGTGGGAGGGGGGCGGGGAGGCGGTGGCTGGTGGGGAGAATGGGGCCTTTCTACCCGCAGCCGAATCCTCTGGGCTAAACCGAGTTCCCGGCTGGCTCGCAGCGCTTGTTTTACTGAAAGAGCTCCAGGGTTAGAGAGACGCGGCCGCTAAACAGGAAAGCCCTATTCCTTCGAGGAAATGCGCCGGAAACCGGGGGCCGCTCTACGTTGTTTGCGTCTCTATGGTCGCCGAGGGTGCCGCCTCTGTGAGATGGGCGGGCGAGGCGGAGCTGCAGCCGGCCTGGAAGGGGAAGTGGGTGGAAGAGCCGCCGGGCGGGTTTCTGGTCCTAGGAAAGGCTTGGGCTGCTTGGGCCCAGAAGGACCCATATATTGGGGCTGGGCACCAGCTGGGCTCCTGGGATAGAATTGAATGCAGATTTCCAGAAGTAATTTCTGAGTAGGCATGAAAAGTGCACCAGTTGCGATTATTGCCGCAACAGTTGCAAGAAAGGAAGGAAAGGAAATAAGAGTATTTCAGGGTAGCTGAGCGGTGATCACGCAGCAGCAGATGCAAAATGCCAAAGATTTTACCAGCAAGGAAAGGAGTCGCATGCCAGAAAGAGCAGGCTCTTGTTTCGTGTGAAATAGTCAATTTTCAAATTTACAAAAACAACGCTGTCAGAATGCAGGATGCAGCCTGGGAGAGGCTTTTTAAGTGGACAGCTTGAGTAGAGTAGGCCTTTGTTGCATGCAACCAGATCAGTGCTTTGTGTTGGGGGAGTTGTGGCTGCAGATTTAAGCCAACCCCTGACTTGTAACGTTTAAGCTGCTCTGCATCAGTCCAGCCTGCAATAGGGACAGAATATGACAGAACTACACTGCACTATAAACTACTGTCATCGACTAAGGCTCCACCAGAAAAATAGTATCACTTCCAGCATCAGCTTTCTCCTTCCTTCCTCTACCTGCCTGCCCCATTAAACCCTTCCACCAATGGATATAATTCACCATGCAATCCCACTATGGCTTTTTCAAACCAGTGATGTCCAGTGAATTCAGGCAATTGATTCTCTTGCACGGCTTCTGATTTTGTGCTGAGCTTTCCATTCTCCATCCCTAAAATAACACTGTTCTTAGGGACATAATAACAAAGAGTCTTCTGTTACCTTAAACATGGGCTACAGACCATTTCATCTGATTAAATATTATCCCAGGATGCAAATTCACAATGTGTTTTTATTTCGCTACATGTGTTAATTGACTTACAAATGCCTGGATGTCTGTGTTATCAACACTTTTTCTGTGTGTGAATTACCTCTAATGACAAAATGACCTCACACCATGTGTAAAATTGCAATGCAACGTAAGATCTCAGGCACTGATGCTTTTCACTTATGTTTTTGGTCAGAACATTATGAAGCCCTTCTACTGATCAGCTTTGTTCCCATGGAAAGTTATGAAGCAGCAAAAAATTCAAAACCTTTTTTGTTCAGCCTTTCTTTCTATTTTCAGAGTATTGTAGTCTATATGAAAAGTTGGTAGCCAGCTGGTTTCTGTAGTGTAGTGGTTATCACGTTCGCCTCACACGCGAAAGGTCCCCGGTTCGAAACCGGGCAGAAACAGCAATTGGATTTTTTTCCAAAAGATCTCTTCTTTGTCTTTTTTTTTTTTTTGCAGTTGTTAACACTGCCCACTTTATAAATAGCTTTTTCCGCAAAAATGTTCATCTGGATACACACAGTGGGAATATACGTAAGTCACATCCTTAAATGTGCAAATCTTTAGAATAAGGCGACGTTTGTAGCGGCAGTGAGAAATCTAATAGTGCTTTTTTCTGGGGGGACGCAAGGGGACGCATACCCCTAAACAATTTGTGAAACTTTGTATTATTGTCCATTTACTGTATTTATTTTTCCCGATTTGAACTCTAAAATGATGATTTTCTTGAGTCAAAATGAGAGTACCCCTAAATATTGTTTAAAGAAAAAAAGCACTGCTAATAGTTAATAAATTGTGAGTACATGATCAAAACAACGGAAAAGAATTTGGGATGATTTGAGAAAAAGGGGCTTTACTATTTTCTATGAGAGGCAACTCGTTTAATTCTTACTTTTAAACCACCAAACAACGCGATGGCACTGTCACGTGCATAATTGAGGCATGGCTCAATTCCTGCACACTGGAGTAATATGCTAAGCTAGTATTGACTATACGATTCACACTGAACGACATATTTAATTCTATGTTGGAAAAGCTCCGAGAGGGCAATAATTGCATATTAACTAGACTAGTTGCAGCCCAAAGCATCAGCCGCCCGGCTAGCTCAGTCGGTAGAGCATGAGACTCTTAATCTCAGGGTCGTGGGTTCGAGCCCCACGTTGGGCGCAGACTTTTGCTTTTTAAGATCTTCCATTCTTGCTGTATTTCCTTAGGAACAAATCCCCAAAATGACCAGTGGCCTCGGCAGTTGTGACAGCTGCAAAAACACCACTCCCCCGAAAACGCGTTTCTTAAATCTATACATGCAAGTGGAGTTTACAATTGGAAGGAAACGCAAAACACCCAGCTTTTCGCTCCTAAATTGCTATTATTATTTTTCACTATGGAGCTCATACAAGAAAGTTCACGTGCCTATGTTTTCCCATCTGCAAATCGTATGCACGGGGCTTTTTATGTGTCTTTTGCTAAGTGAAGAGGAGGTGATCAAGAGGGGCGCTCTCCTGGCCCCCATTTTTGCATTTTTCTTTTGCATGCCCCCTCAGTTTTTCCACCTCTTGTTTCAGTCGGTTTCCACCAGGTTTTTGCATTATTTGCCCGAGCCCAGGATCGGAGCATATGCGTAACCACGCAGGCTTGGAGCATGCGAACCATAGAGAAGAGTGCCCTTTAAGCATGTGCAGAGTGCATCTCGAACACCGAGCAGCACTCGCACTCAGGGCCCACGGGAAAGTGAGTTCAGGTGCAGGTCTGCTCCCTACAAAAGTGTTGGATCTTCTTCCCACCCGTTTCAATTAAGCACCACTTTCCAACGAGTCTGCAAAGCGAAGACCCGGGGGGGGGGGAGAGTCCAGTCCGAGCCGAACTTCAATTCCCAGAATGCCTGGAGAGCGATGCGTCTCCCTCTTTGCCCACCAGGACTACATTTCCCATGGTGCTTAGCGGGGGCCGTACAAAAGGCCACAGGAATGCGGTCACAGTCTGGCTCCGGGTTGGGTGTTCGCTCCGCTGCGCTGCACCCCTGCTTCTCCCCAGGATAAAACCCAGGCAGACGCATATATACATATATACATATAGGAATGGACCCCGGTAAGTGCCTGAGGCAAGTTTGTGGGTGCCCCCCCGGCCAAAAAAGAAAAAAGAAAACTGGTGGTGATCCGGTTATTGCTGGAGTATTTTTGCAGGCGACTCTTGAGGCAGCAGGGCCGGCCAAGGGTTGCAGATTTCACATCAAGGGCAAACACAGAACCCCGCATCTTAAAACCTCTACCGGGAGACTTAAAATGCACGTCATTTGACATCTTTCCTTGCCCAGCCTTTGCTGGCCTTTTGATGCCCCAGGAACGCCTCCTGTGACCACGCTGTTGAGATGTTTTCCCTTTAATTTTGAGTTTATCTTTGCCTAATCTCAAGACCCATGCTTGCAATTAATTTGGACTAAGGATCCTTCCGTGGCTGTGCCATTGGTGATGTGTACCTGGCTTGGAATCCTTGCTTCACCTATAGATGTGTTAGGATAACGAATACCCAGCCTTGTTATTCATCACATTAGAAAAAGTACGCTGAGCCCACTAGTGATTTTCAAGGGACAAGGCAGTTTGGAGGATGTGCCTCTGACAGCGCGGCCTTAGACGTGTCTGCTCAGAAGGAAGTCCAACTTAGTTCATTGGGGCTTATTCCCAGGTGGGTATAGGATTGTTGTCTAAAATCAGAAAATAGTTAAGGAGGCTATTGGACTAGCGGGCAAGCTTTCTGAGTAACGCAAAGCTCCTCATCAGGCAGAACAAAAAGTGGCACAGTGAGCGTCTGAACTAAATGTGTCGGCAGGTAAGAAGTTTCCAAAATGGGAGTTGTAAGTAAACTGTGTTTAAGATTCCCTTTTTCATCCAAAAGGGCACATTGGGGAGAGTCTGTTTTGGGTCCTTAAGTGGCGAGATTTCACACGCATTCAGTTGCACCAGCCTTTCATTTAAGTACCTAAGGGGACAGTCAGGAAAACGATCTTGTAGTCAAGGGCTGCGCTTGCAGCTGGTTATCTGAGGATGCTTGCTGGAGACTGGCCTTTTGAGAGCCTCGAGAGCAGAGGACACTTCATTGGGAATTCACAGGCTTCTCATTAGGAACTAGAGAGTCCACTTTCAAAGCACTTGAAAAAATATTATCTGGGTCTCTTAAAAATGAAAAGCAAATCACAATATGCATCACACTAGTGATGCTTCCATCTGGAAAGTGTAGTTAGGTCAAAGTATAATTAACCGAGGCAGAGCCCTCTGCTTCCGCTCACTATCCTCCTGCCCCATCCCTCCCCCCCCCCTTTCTCAACTGGCCCTCTTCTTGTTTCCCTACCATTGACTCCCTTAACTCAGTTCAGGGGATGCAGGGAGACAGTGACTTCAAATGACCGCAAATAGCTTGCAGAGAGCTCCGTGAGGTGCTTTGGAAGCTTGAACTCCCTGCCCATCAGCTGGTATGTGGGAAGTTCATGTCCGGCTTCTGCAGGGATGGGATGTGCGCATGAGTTCCCTGCGAGGAGCTCATGTGCACAGCCAAACCGAGCAGGCTTGCATTGGCTGCCCATCAGCTGGTAGACGGGCAGTTCAAGCCTGGGCTTTGCAGGGACTGGCAGACTTTTTTATCTGGCTGGCCAAATTTGGCCTGCAAACCGGAGGTTTCCCACCCCACTTGTGGTGGGTGATGATTTGCTGTGTTGGGGGGAAGGCAAGATGGGAGATTTAATAGTGTATCTAGAAACCAAGGTACAAGGAGTAAAAAAACAAGTTTCTGTGCAAGAGAGAGTTTTTTATACAGGTGAAATCTGACTATTTCCTAGTGGCCCTAGAGTTGGGCACCTCAGCACAATCTTGACCTCTCAAGTCCTCCTCGAAAGTTCACTATCTTTTCCAGTTTGTAACACCCTTTCCTCCCAGTAGCTTGTGGCCGCATTGTGGAGAGGGAATGACTGATGGTAATCTTTCTTCCAGCCGGCGAAGAATGGATCAAGAGAGAAAATGAGGAACCACCTCCCGGGCGAGCGGATGCTGAACAATTGCACGAAACGTTATCAGAAGGGAGCGAGGATTTTCCCGACTCTGAGCAGCCTGAAGCCTGTAAGAGGGGCCTGGAAGCCCGCCGGGACGCGTTTGCGGGAGACCTTTGTTTCGACTACGAGAACGGCCCCTCGAGGATGCGCGCGAACGACCGGCCGTTCAAATGCGACGTGTGCGAGAAGAGCTTCCGCCACAGCTCCAGCCTGCTGACCCACCGGAGGCTCCACACGGGGGAGAAGCCGTACAAATGCACCGACTGCGGGAAGAGCTTCAACACCAGCTCGGCGCTCATCGTGCACCGCCGGACGCACACCGGGGAGAAGTCCTACGTCTGCTCGGACTGCGGCAGGTGCTTCAGCGAAGGTTCGGTGCTCATCAAGCACTGGCGCATTCACACGGGGGAGAAGCCCTACAAGTGCGCCATCTGCGGCAGGGGCTTCCGGCAGAGCTCGCAGCTGCGTGCCCACGAGAGGACGCACACGGGCGAGAAGCCCTACGCGTGCCGGGACTGCGGCAAGTGCTTCAGCACCAGCTCCAACCTCTCGGCCCACCAGAGGACGCACACGGGCGAGAAGCCCTACATCTGCGCTGAGTGCGACCGGCGCTTCGGCCACAAGTCCCACCTCATCTCCCACCAGAAGACGCACACGGAGAAGCTGCACGCTTGCCCCGACTGCCCCGCCAGCTTCCGCATGACCCACCAGCTGCTGGTCCACCGCAAGTCCCACCAGGAAGACCGGCGCTACAAGTGCCTCCTCTGCGGGAAGACCTTCAGCTACAGCTCGGCTCTGCTGGCGCACCAGCGCATGCACACGGGAGACAGGCCCTTCAAGTGCCTCGAGTGCGGCAGGAGCTTCATCCGCAACTCGGACTTGAACAAGCACCAGAGGATCCACACGGGCGAGAAGCCCTATGAGTGCCCAGAGTGCGGGAAGAGGTTCAACCAGAGCTCGCACCTGGTCAGCCACCGGAGGGTCCACTTCAAAAGCGCCGCCAAAAACCCGGGCGCGAACGTCGGCGCTCCGGCTGAGCAGGAAGTCGAGTCTTCCTGAAGGCCGCTTTCCGCAAGGAACTCCTTCTGTAAGTTATGGAGGCCGCCATCTGGCTTTCTTCTGAAAGAGGTTTGCACAGAGGGACTGTCAAGGAACTCTGTGTGCCGGAAAAACGAAAGTTTCTGCACCAAGGCAGCTGAGATCCTTCACCGAGGAAAGCAGAGTTCTGCGGCATTGGGTACCTTATGGTTGACGTGGTTAAGAGCAGTGGACTTGTAATCTGGGGAACCGGGTTCACATCTCCGCTCCTCCACATGCAGCTGCTGGGTGACCTTGGGCTAGTCACACTTCTCTGAAGTCTCTCAGCCCCACTCACCTCACAGAGTGTTTGTTGTGGGGGAGGAAGGGAAAGGAGAATGTTAGCCGCTTGGAGACTCCTTCAGGTAGTAATAAAGCGGGATATCAAATCCAAACTCTTCTTGTATAACTATTTTGCAGGTCATAGAAAAGGGCAGAGAGAGATGCAGGACGCAGAGGCTTATGCCCTCTGGCCCTTGGAAATCTTGCTCAGCCCTTCTGCCTTCTGGAAACGTGTGGGCAGTGTCTGTCTTTGCTGTCTTAAGGACTAGAAACTTGGGCATGCGGTGCTTTTTAAAAATGGAATGTTGCTGAAATTGGTGAGCTGGCCTGTGTCCTTGTGCGAGTGCAGAATATACTCTAGAAGTGGGGAATCCTATTTTTCTTTTAGCCCAAGGGTTATGCTCCCTCCTCTGCAGTCTGTCAGGAACCCCATGCTGGTGGTGGGTGGAGCCAGAGGAAAGAGTGGGCGGAGCCACAGGTGTGCCCTCTGGCATTGGTGCAGTAGGCTACGTTGCAGGAATGCAAAAGTCAGAGGTTTTTACATACATGCAGCCCATGCCCATCTCCTCCTCCAGCTAGATAGATGAGAGGCATTTTCACAGTTCAGGGACCCACTTGAACCCTCAACACAAGGAGTGCATGGCGCAGGATTGGTGCGGAGGTTCCCACTCAATTCAAGAGAACTGCAGTAGAACAGTGGGACTGGAACTAAACTTAAATTAGCCATGCTTTAGTCCCATTGAAGTCCATGGGGCAGGTTAGCCGTGGCATCATTTAGTTTGGATGCCAACTCAGCCTTTGAAATTTCTTGGTGGTGGGGGAAGAGAAGGGAAAGTTGACCTTCAGACCCCAGGAGGTACACAGAAACCAAAAGAGCTGTTTTTACACTGCAATGAGCTCCTTTTCTCTGTGGTTCCTCTGTTTGATGTTGGCAGTGCTAGGCAGTTGCTTATGAGACAGGACATGATCCAGCCAGCTTCTAATTGCCACCTTCCATTGTCTTGTATTTGAAGAGAGGAGTTGTTGTTGTTTAGTCGTTTAGTCGTGTCCGACTCTTCGTGACCCCATGGACCAGAGCACGCCAGGCACCTCTATCCTCCACTACTTCCCGCAGTTTGGTCAAACTCATGCTGGTAACCTCGAAAACACTATCCAACCATCTCGTCCTCTGTCGCCCCCTTCTCCTTGTGCCCTCCATCTTCCCCAGCATCAGGGTCTTTTCCAGGGAGTCTTCTCTTCTCATGAGGTGGCCAAAGTATTGGAGTCTCAGCTTCACGATCTGTCCTTCCAGTGAGCACTCAGGGCTGATTTCCTTCAGAATGGATGCGTTTGATCTTCTTGCAGTCCATGGGACTCTCAAGAGTCTTCTCCAGCACCATAATTCAAAAGCATCAATTCTTCGGCGATCAGCCTTCTTTATGGTCCAGCTCTCACTTCCATACATCACTACTGGGAAAACCATGGCTTTAACTATACGGACCTTAGTTGGCAAGGTGACGTCTCTACTTCTCAAGATGCTGTCTAGGCCTGTCATTGCCCTTCTCCCAAGAAGCAGGCGTCTTTTAATTTCGTGGCTGCTGTCACCATCTGCAGTGATCATGGAGCCCAAGAAAGTAAAATCTCTCACTGCCTCCATTTCTTCCCCTTCTATTTGCCAGGAGGTGATGGGACCAGTGGCCATGATCTTCGTTTTTTTGATGTTGAGCTTCAGACCATATTTTGCGCTCTCCTCTTTCCACCCTCATTAAAAGGTTCTTTAATTCCTCCTCACTTTCTGCCATCAAGGTTGTGTCATCTGCATATCTGAGGTTGTTGATATTTCTTCCGGCAATCTTAATTCCAGCTTGGGATTCATCCAGCCCAGCCTTTCGCATGATGTATTCTGCATATAAATTAAATAAGCAGGGAGACAATATACAGCCTTGTCGTACTCCTTTCCCAATTTTGAACCAATCAGTTGTTCCATATCCAGTTCTAACTGTAGCTTCTTGTCCCACATAGAGATTTCTCAGGAGACAGATGAGGTGATCAGGCACTCCCATTTCTTTAAGAACTTGCCATAGTTTGCTGTGGTCGACACAGTCAAAGGCTTTTGCATAGTCAATGAAGCAGAAGTAGATGTCTTTCTGGAACTCTCTAGCTTTCTCCATAATCCAGCGCATGTTTGCAATTTGGTCTCTGGTTCCTCTGCCTCTTCTAAATCCAGCTTGCACTTCTGGGAGTTCTCGATCCACATACTGCTTAAGTCTTCCTTGTAGAATTTTAAGCATAACCTTGCTAGCGTGTGAAATGAGTGCAATTGTGCGGTAGTTGGAGCATTCTTTGGCACTGCCCTTCTTTGGGACTGGGATGTAGACTGATCTTCTCCAATCTTCTGGCCACTGCTGAGTCTTCCAAATTTGCTGGCATATTGAGTGTAGCACCTTAACAGCATCATCTTTTAAAATTTTAAATAGTTCAGCTGGAATACCATCACTTCCACTGGCCTTGTTATTAGCAGTGCTTTCTAAGGCCCATTTGACTTCACTCTCCAGGATGTCTGGCTCAAGGTCAGCAACCACACTACCTGGGGTGTACGAAACATCCATATCTTTCTGGTATAATTCCTCTGTGTATTCTTGCCACCTCTTCTTGATGTCTTCTGCTTCTGTTAGGTCCTTACCACTTTTGTCCTTTATTATGGTAATCTTTGTACGAAATGTTCCTTTCATATCTCCAATTTTCTTGAACAGATCTCTGGTTCTTCCCATTCTGTTGTTTTCCTCTATTTGTTTGCATTGCTCGTTTAAGAAGGCCTTCTTGTCTCTCCTTGCTATTCTTTGGAAATCTGCATTCAATTTCCTGTATCTTTCACTATCTCCCTCGCATTTTGCTTGCCTTCTCTCCTCCGCTGTTTGTAAGGCCTCGTTGGACAGCCACTTTGCTTTCTTGCATTTCCTTTTCATTGGGATGGTTTTCGTTGCTGCCTCCTGTACAATGTTACGAGCCTCCATCCATAGTTCTTCAGGCACTCTGTCCACCAAATCTAAATCCTTAAACCTGTTCCTCACTTCCACTGTGTATTCATAAGGGATTTGACTTAGATTGTATCTTACCGGCCCAGTGGTTTTTCCTACTTTCTTCAGTTTAAGCTTGAATTTTGCTATAAGAAGCTGATGATCTGAGCCACAGTCAGCTCCAGGTCTTGTTTTTGCTGACTGTATAGAGCTTCTCCATCTTTGGCTGCAGAGAATATAATCAATCTGATTTTGATGCTGCCCATCTGGTGATGTCCATGTGTAGAGTCGTCTCTTGTGTTGTTGGAAAAGAGTGTTTGTGATGACCAGCTTGTTCTCTTGACAGAACTCTATTAGCCTTTGCCCTGCTTCATTTTGATCTCCAAGGCCAAACTTGCCAGTTGTTCCTTTTATCTCTTGCCTCCCTACTTTAGCATTCCAATCCCCTATAATGAGAAGAACATCTTTCTTTGGTGTCACTTCTATAAGGTGTTGTAAGTCTTCATAGAATTGGTCAATTTCAGTTTCTTCAGCACCAGTAGTTGGTGCATAAACTTGGATTACTGTGATGTTAAAAGGTCTGCCTTGGATTCGTATCGAGATCATTCTATCATTTTTGAGATTGTATCCCAGTACAGCCTTTCGCCACTCTTTTGTTGACTATGAGGGCCACTCCATTTCTTTTACGGGTTTCTTGCCCACAGTAGTAGATGTGATGGTCATCCGAACTGAATTCGCCCATTCCCATCCATTTTAGTTCACTGATGCCCAGGATGTCAATAATTATTCTTGCCATCTCATTTTTGACCACATCCAACTTACCCAGGTTCATGGTTCTTACATTCCAGGTTCCTATGCAATATTTTTCTTTACAGCATTGGATTTTCCTTTCGCTTCCAGGCATATCTGCAACTGAGCGTCCTTTCGGCTTTGGCCCAGCCACTTCATCAGCTCTGGATCTACTTGTACTTGCCCTCCGCTCTTCCCCAGTAGCATGTTGGACGCCTTCCGACCTGAGGGGCTCATCTTCCAGCGTCATAACTTTTATATGCCTGTTGTCTTTGTCCATGGAGTTTTCTTGGCAAGGATACTGGAGTGGCTTGCCGGTTCCTCCTCCAGGTGGATCACGTTTGGTCGAAACTCTCCACTATGACCTGTTCATCTTGTGTGCCCTGCTCGGCATAGTTCATAGCTTCTCTGAGTTCTTCAAGCCCCTTCGCCACGGCAAGGCAGTGATCCATGAAGGGGTCAGAAGAGAGGAGTACAGTAGTCTAACAAGGAAGAAGAACTGTACTTTTAAACAAAAGAAATGAATGGCTATGTTTTGTTACTCGGTCATGAAATAAAACCAAGGGATGACTAGATGACCTTTGGGTCCCTTCCAACTCTGGTTCTATGACTTGGAAAGTAGGAAACAAATAATCGCCCACCCGCCTCAAGAGACCATGGCCATTGCTTAATAATTCCTGTAGAATGTGTGTGTGTGTATATATTTATCTATATATACAGCCATGGGATGTGGGTGGTGATGTGGGTTAAACCACAGAGCCTAGGGCTTGCTGATCAGAAGGTTGGTGGTTCGAATCCCCGTGACGGGGTGAGCTCCCATTGTTCGGTCCCTGCTCCTGCCAACCTAGCAGTTCAAAAGCACGTCAAAGTGCAGGTAGATCAATAGGTACTGCTCCGGCGGGAAGGTAAACGGCATTTCCGTGCACTGCTCTGGTTTGCCAGAAGTGGCTTAAACATGCTGGCCACATGACCCAGAAGCTGTACGCCAGCTCCCTCGGCCAGTAAAGTGAGATGAGTGCCGCAACCCCAGAGTCGTCCGCGACTAGACCTAATGGTCAGGGGTCCCTTTACCTTTATATATACAGCCGGATTCAACTAACCTGTTCACTAGCAGACACCAGCACAAGGAACGGCTAGCGCAAGGAAACTTCCCCCCCAACACACCCCAAGGGTCAGGGGCACCCCCAGAACGGCGTGC